GGCCCCGGAGCCCCGGGCCGGGTGAGGGCGCAGGGCCCAGCCGAGCACGTGGTCGATGCAGGGTGGGTTGGGGGAGCTCGAGGCCCCGCAGGGCCCGGCCCGGCCCCCGGGGTCATTCCTCATCCTGCTCCAAGAGGATCTGGGGTGACGCGGCCCTGGCACCGCCGGCGGCTGACGTGGCCGCACATGGGGCCGGCAGTGGTGTGAGACCTGTTGGGTTGATGACGTGTCCAGCTCCACGGGTTGGTGAAGGTGAGTCAAGGTACCGTGTCCAGGGCTCCGCGGCACGTGAGGATGAAGTCCCTTTCCGTCCATCCATCCGTCCATCCACTCACCCACTTTTACACTCATCTACCGGAACCCCCGTCCATGTATCGACCCATCCAACCCTCCATCCATCCCTCTTCCCAACATTGGGTTGATGACGTGTCCAGCTCCACGGGTTGGTGAAGGTGAGTCAAGGTACCGTGTCCAGGGCTCCGCGGCACGTGAGGATGAAGTCCCTTTCCGTCCATCCATCCGTCCATCCACTCACCCACTTTTACACTCATCTACCGGAACCCCCGTCCATGTATCGACCCATCCAACCCTCCATCCATCCCTCTTCCCAACACACATTTAGCAGAGTAGCCTCCACGTGCGAGGCCCGGGAGATGTGGCTCTGCCAGCGGGACGTCCGGCTGCCTCCCCGCGCCAGGACCTGTTGCCCTGCACTGGCCGTGGACACGAGTGGCCAGTGTTCAAGCACAAATATTCCCATTCCCGAGGCCATGGGATAAGGACAAGCTGGAAAAATCCAGGTAGACAGAGCAGCCCTAGGGATCTCTGCACGCCGAGGGTGACAGTGGCACTAAGCGCCAGCTCCGCACCCGCCCCGCGCTCCATCTCGGAGCCGTCCCGTTGCTTCCAAGTCCCGGGAGCTGCGTGGTGGGGCCGGATGGAGGCTGGAGAAGGTGCCGAGAGGGGGAAGGAGAGGAAACCGGGAGCTGCCGCCGTGTTTAGTCTAGCGCAGCCGGGCCGCAGGGCGGGAGAGCCGGGCCGGGAGCCAGCGGCGGGGAGGAGGACACCCCGGCCCCCGGGCGCCCGCGCTCCGTGCCCGGGCGCGATCCCGGAGCTCCCGTCCCTCCCTCCCCGCGCCAACAGCAGACACGAGCCGAGCGAGGTGCTCTCAGGGATTTAATGGGACTTGGCACTTGAGCTGTACAATCCATTTACAGAGAAGCTGCGTCCTGCCGCCTCCACGTGCCCCCTTCGCCCGAGCGCTTTGCCGGCGGCGATGGGCGATGCTCGAGGGTCGGGACGGGGCAGCGCCGGCATCGCCCTCCCGTCACCGCTCTCGTCGCCGCCCCCGGGCCGTTTCTTGCACCTTTTTGCAGCAGGAGGCCCCAGGCTGACGCTTCCTCCCATTAATCTTTGGCCAACTAGACCCCGGCAGCGCTGCCGTTACACGTATTTACAGACACTAACTCTCCTCTTTCTACTTCCTCCCCTTTCTCTTCTCTACCTTTCTACCACGTACAACAGACCCTTGGTTGCCTCCAGTGCGGCCTTCCGCGGAAGGCGCTTCCTTTCCAAAGCAACAACAACAAAAACTACCTTTTGCCCCGCTACTGTCGCTAACCGATAATCCTCTTCCCTCCCCAAAACCCCTCGTGACGTTTCTAAAAACCTTCCTAAGCCTCTGCTCCCAGCCCACCACGTTATGGCTTCGTTTTGCCGAGCGTGGGAAGAAAGAAAGAAAGTCTGTACAGGCCCAGCTCAGAGCAAGGATCAAGTACTGGCAAAGGGAATGCCAAGGGGGAAAGGCTCTGAAGACGACAAAATACAAAAGTAAAAAACAAAGAACGAACAAAAAACCCAAAAACAAACAAACAAACAAAAAAACAAGGAACAAAACCCAGAGAAAATGGAAAAAAATGGGGAAAAAAAAGGAAAAACAAAACCTCCCAAAAAACTGAAATAAAAACTGATATATATATATAAACAAAAAAACAAAAACAAAAACAAAACAAAGAACAAAACCCAGAGAAAATGGAAAAAATGGGGAAAAAAAATGGAAAAACAAAACCCTCAAAAAACCTGAAATAAAAACTGATATATATACATGAAAAAAAAATTTAAATAGCTGGCAGGTTACGTGAGTGGAAAATGAGGAATGTACAATGGAAAAAACTAGAACGAAATATTCCAGTAGGTAAATTGAAACGCTATTGACCTGGGGTCTGTTTTTCTGTGTGTGTGTTTTTTTAGGGGACCCTTTTCTTAATAAAAAACAAACCAAACCAAAAGTGACTACAAGTGACACGTTCTGCAGTGTTTGGGTACTGTGAGCCATGCACTGCACCGCCAAAGGGACAACGTGCGGTCGGGTATCGGCGCCGCTTCCAATGGGATCAACGGCGTCGATCCCAAGGCGCCGGCCCCGCTTTGGGCTTCCCATTTGTGGTCTCAGATGGGAGCTTTGGAAAAAGCCACGCGGCCGCCTCCGGTCTGTGACAAGAACCCGCAGCACGAGGGCCTCGGAGGCACAGAGCGGGTCCGAGGTGGCCGTGTTTGCAAAAAAACAGACTCCAGCTCAACAGTGTTACCTGCATACCAGTAGCTGCCATTATAACACAAAAAAAAAAAGAAAAAAAAAGAGGAAAAAAAGACATTTCTGTTCAATAGAGTAAATCCCATCATGCTCACATTAGGAGAAAAATGTACACGGTATTTATAAATAAACAGTCTTCCACGAGGCCGTGCCCGGGCTCCTCTTCACACCAGCGTTTCTTTCCGCTTGCTGCTGAGCTGCTTCTCCCTGGTTTTCCTGTGCCCGGGCAGCGTTCGGTGCGTTTTGCAGCCCTTGGCTTCCTCCGAGTCCAGGACGGAGCCGCCCTCGGGGGTGTTTTCGTCCAGCTCCATGTCGGTTATTCCCGGGCGGCTCCCGGCGGGAGGGCTGTTCTCCTCCGCCTCCTCGCTGAGCTCCGGGAGCTCCTGGAGCTCGGCAGCGGCCGCGCTGCGCTGGAAGGGCGCGATGGCCGTGCGGATGCAGTTCACCCACTGCTGCTTGTGGAAGATGTCGTTGGCCTGCAGCGTGTGGGACTGGCCCGGGCAGGGATCTTGGAAACGGACCCTGAAGATGTTTTTAGCTGAGGATAAGCACAGGGAAAAGCAGATCAGATCCAAGCTCAGGGTTCGGGGATTCTGCTGCAAGACAAGCGGCTTGGAGCTCCCTGACGGTTTGGGAAAAACATTCCAAGTCCCACAAAGCAAATGGAAAACATGGACTTTCCTGTGAGGGTGCCAGAGCCCTGGCACAGGCTGCCCAGAGAGGCTGTGGAGGCTCCTTCTCTGGAGATGTCCAACCTGCCTGGATGCCACCCTGTGCCCAGTGCTCTGGGTGTCCCTGCTGGAGCAGGGGCTGCACTGGGTGATCCCTAGAGGTCCCTGCCAACCTCAGCCATTCTGGGATTCTGCGACTTCCGAGCACTGACTGCAAAGTGCTGGTTGTAAATCCCAATTTATGGGGACTAATGGGGATCGGGGACACACCAGATATAAGATCACAAAGCCAAAGACTAAAGGTAGAAGTTCCCAAGTGTCACCTGGCTGCTATCCTAAAAGAACCACAATTTATAGGGAATTCCCTCACCCAGGCAATTTCCGTGGATTGATTCCCCAGGAATAACTGGTTGGGTCTCTACCTTTATCCGAGTTGCCGAAAGCTCCTCGGAAGGATCCTCCCATCTTCACGTCGCCATCCTGCAGGTCCTCGAGGAGCAGCTCCTGCACGGGGATGGGCTGCCTGTACACCTGGTAGGACTGACGCTCGTTCCGAGTGACCGGCCGCGTCAGGACCAGGATGTCTTGGAAGAGGAACACGTAGAGCTTCTGAAAGGGAAGATACGTCCGAACATGAGCCAAGCGGATCCAGAGCGGCTACGGAGCAGGTCCTGGCTCCCAGGTCACATTATCCAGGTCCCCCCTATGTCAACCTGCTGATGGTTTCCTGACATGGAGGGATCTGACTGCCGTGGCGCATACAGGACTTGCGCAAAGAGGTTTTAACACCTCAGGACCCCTCAAAAGTTATTTCTAATTTGCCCCTGTCTATAAGAGGCAGCCAGAGACAAGCACAGCTTTCTGGAGGGCTTTAAACTATCACTTAGGATCTCACATTTTAAATTTAACCACTGCCTTAAGACCACACGTTTGCTAGTCACTACTGTTTCTACACATAGCAAGAAGAGGACGCTTAGAAGCAACAGCTTTTTTTGAAAATACGTGTTTTGTGAGTATAAAAAGGTAAGAGCTGAATTAAAAAGAATGAAAAAAAAAAAAAGTGTAATATGAGTTTATGCCCCCTGTAAGCAAGGACAAAGCTCTTGACTCTGACAGGACTTTGCAGTGCTGCTGCAGTGGCAAGGGAGAAACTTTTGGCAGTTCATCTGTTGCAGGAACAGTTTGTTTGGAAGAGCTGTGAGCCAGCTTTTTTAAATGGGGAACGTTCGAGCACCTGGAAGCAAAGAGCAGGCAGGAAATCCCTCCCGACGGGGTGCTGGGGCACGGCCCACACTTTCTATGTGATTTTGGGATTGTTTTCCAGGTTCTGAGGGCTGCTTGGAAAGTTGTCAGCGGGACGCTTTTCCTCACACCCCGAAATACGGCCTGCCATGAGGTGTTCCCAACTCCTGCTTTTTTAATTTAACCAACCACCTAAACTTGACAGAGGCTCCTGCTGTGACACCCAAGTGATACCAAGTGCCTCCAGTGAAAGGTTTTCAGAGTTTAGTGTTAATTACTGAGAGCCCAAGGAACTTACATGTCCGTTTTTGTTCTTCAGCTCCCCGTGGCACAGTAAAGCTTTGCTGCCCTCGATCCTTGGGTCCTTCTGCTTCTCATCCAGGTACTCCAGCTTGTCAATGTAATACTGGCACTCCGACTCCCCCTTCTTCAAGTTGATGTCGGAGAGGACTCCTTGGATTATAGTGATCTATAGAGCAAAACATAGAAAAAAAGATTAAATTGGAACCTGTGCTTTGCATATGTTTACTTTTAAGTGTTATTCAAAACTCCAGATGATGGAGTTCACATTGATTAAGCTCTCATTTGCTTTCACCCCCCACAGGTTGCTGAAGAACTTTCTGAAGCTCCAGAACTACATACTTATATCCGAACAATCATCATGAAAATCACTGTTACTTACTGCTTCTTCTAGAATCTGGATGTCAGGATGGTCTTTGGGAGTGTGTCTCAGGATTTCTTTGAGGAGCAGTGGGTATTTGACCAGGCGACTCCGAGGAATGTCCAGGAAGCTCCAGAGGTCTAATTTTCGGCTGAAAGGAGACTCCAGGCAGCGCTGGAGGAAGTCCTGCACCCTCCTGTCCTGCTTCTTCTGATCCAGAAGTGCCTTGGCTGCCAGCTGATTGCTGCAGTAACCTTTGTAGGCATGAAGTCGTGGCAACTGCAGGAGAACGGAACATTTAGGAGCCAAATCCCACAAAAGAAACACAGATCTCATCAACACGTCAAACTCGAGGGGTGTTCTGTTGCCCTCACTGCAATTCCTTGCCCCATTAAAAACCCAACAGTTTATCTTGGACGTGTAGCGAGGAGAAAAAGGGCACCCTCCACACAGTGCTTTCAAGTGGAGATGTTTGACATTAACAGTGATAACCCTATTGAAGCCACAACAGCTCCAAACAGCCCTGAAGATGCAGATGTTTCAAACATAAATCAGTGAGCGTTGGCAGACGCACTGGCATTAAGTCTCCAGTGTGAAATCCTGGCCCATTACACTTGACAGACTCCCATTGTTCTCAGTGTAGCCAGGATTTCCGTCTACATCCTTCACTGGAGGCCACAAAAGCCCCCAGTGTTTCAGCTTCTAGCTCGGGGCTCTTCAAACTCACAACTGCTTTCTGCCTGGCGTCTCGCAGCCTCGTACTCACCCATTTCACAAGAATTGGCCCAATCTGCTCCACTGTTCCGTCAGGTTTCGTTGCTTCCCCTAAACTTGCCAACAAATCTGGAATTGAAACAAGAACAGAATTGCCACAATGCCTCAGTGAACTTTTCTAACGTGAGACTTTTTTAATGTGTTTTCTAACGTGAGAAATTAGAAATTTTCTAATGTGAGAAATGTGAGATACATTCTAATGCATCTCCTACTCAGCATATTCTGTAAAAATCAACCAGTTGCTCTTACCTTCGTGCAGAGGAATATAAGAATCCAAGTCCCCAAATATGTGGGTGAGCTCCTCCTCGGACATGATGGAGAGTTTCAGCATGGGATCATGATAGGCCTGTGAAAGAACATCGGTCCTCAGTCATATTCAGATCTCCCAAACCCAAATGAAATGCTAGATGAAGACATATTTATTAGGGGACGCATCACAAGCAAGACAGGTCTTACGTAAAGCTAAGAGAAAAAGTAACATAAACTTTAATCTCTGTGATAGGCCTGTCAAAGAACATCGGTTCTCAGTCATATTCGGATCTCCCAAACCCAAATGAAATGCCAGATGAAGACATTTATTAGAGGACGTATCAAAAGCAAGAAAGGTCTTACGTAAAGCTAACAGAAAAAGTAACATAAACTTTAATCTCTACAAGATTCATCCCTACACAAAGTTATCAAGGTCTACAATTAAGTAGGGACTACAAATAGGCCCTACTTGTCCCTATTTGTAGACAAGGTTTACAAGTAAGTAGGGATTACAAATAAATAAAGGACTTTCCTGTCTAAACTGATCTCATCTGGGAGAGAAACTGCCCAACAGGTTCTGAGGAACTGCTCACAGCAGCTTGCCAGTGGATGCTGGGCCTGATATAATAAGATTTCTTTATATGAGGACTATCACATGTAGCTTTATCTGAAGTTTGATAACTGACTCTAAGAAAAAAGACTCTCACCTTTCTGGCAAGCTTCAGATCTTCTATTAGATCCTGCTCTCCTCTGGACATTTCGTATATTGCCTGTGAATAGGAGGGTGAAATGTGAAGAGTCATTTCTAATCCCAGAGATCCTCTGAGTCTTTCAGTTCATATAAAGCACACCCCGTCTCTGCAGCTCGACTAGGAGGGTTTGCTCTCTGAACCTGGGCAGCTCTGACAAAAAGCTACATTACATTAGTTGTGCAAAAGCTCTGAAGCTCAGACACCGGCCAAATTAAATATTAGCAACTTTTAAATCACTGCTTTTATATGGGCGAGTTTGAAAACAAACAAACAGAAAAACCCCAACAACAAAGCCCAGAAAAGCCACAGAGGTCAAATCCCAAGTGTCTTTAGTCAGCTTCTGTGTTGTCATTAGAAGATTTGTCTAAGAACTACAGGAAAAAGGCAAGCTGAGGCCTTGGTATTTGGCTTTCGACCAATAATCAGGAGCCTGAAGAGAAAGACAGCTGCTTTTGGAGGAAACCCGACTTTGGGTCACTGCAGAGCAACCAGCGTGGGTGAGTCTCGAGCTTCAGGAGCGCCGAGAGCCACCACGGAGGGGGCTGACAGCTCCGAAGGGTCAAACCGTGGGGACAAAACTGCCACATGACGTCAGGGAGAAGCCTCCAAGAAAGCAATTGAGTTTTCTAGAAATAAAGGTGTGCAGTCATGCCCACAAATGTCCTTTTCTCCTTTTCCCCACCATGGAAACAGGCTGAGCAAAGGCCCCAGCCGTCCCTTTCCTGCTGTTTAACTTGACAACCCACCTCCTGGCGCTTAATCTCTTTGGTGCTCAGGGACTCCTTCATGTTGACGTCTAACATCTCGGACCAAAGGACGCTGTTCCTTCTTTTCGGAGGGGTGGGAGCAGCAGATCTGCTACACGCCTTCTGGGCACAGCTAGGAGATTTGCTGTCACCGCGAAGGGTAAATGACTGTGGGGATTAAAAGAGAGAGAGAGAAAAAAAAATGCAATTTAGAGCCAACTTTTAATAAAGGCAGAAGTGTTATCCACACCCCTCCCAATCCTTCATCCTCCTCTGCTGTGCAGGGCAGGAAAACACACCCAGACACTTTTCCTCTGATAAAGGGACACTTTAATCAAGCTGGCAAGGAAGCCCCTGGAGACTGGACATGGACAGTCTTTTCCATGTTCCTCTCCCGGCTCGGATCCAAAACCAGCACGTGGGAGGAAGAAGGGCAAGTGGAGTCTGATCCCAGCTCCAAGGCACAAGGAAGCACATAAATTAGGATCATAATTCTACCTATAATGGGGCTGATTACGAGCCACTTGAACTTTGCTTTCATGGCTTGCAATGTTATTGCAACCCAGGCTCGAAGCGATCTAATCTGCACGTACGGGCTGTTATGTTCTTCAGACAACGTTTTTCTAACCTTGCTTAGAGAGCTCTGAACAGCAGGGTCAGTTCACATTTAAGCACACGCTGCAATACACATATCTCTTAAGCTCCTTCTTTATCAACTGATTCTCCTTATCTGGATTTTTTTCTAATTTTATTTGCTTAAGTCTCATACTATCTGGTTAGTCAACAAGCCATCTCTGCTCCCTAAATCACAAGCAATGAAACTTTCTGTACAAGGCTTGCCCCCAAAATGAATCATACAGCAGATTTTCCAAAGGTGCCCTTGAAATCCTGGTGGCTTTTTGCACAGACAGCCAGTATCTCCCCCATTTACCTGTATGGTCTGTCCAAAGCGCCGAACTGCACCATTTCTTACAGGAGAGATCAAGTTTGCCAAGGACGTGACCCGTGCTAAGGGCCGGACCCGTTTATTGCTTGGCTCCTGTAAATAAAGCAGAGAACAAGTTGTACTGGCTGCGACTGCCGCTTCATTTCTCAGCTGTCTGGGCAAGCTTTAAAAGCAAAGAACCCACTTAAGAAGTGGGAAAAACCGCAGAGAAAGTGTTTTGAAGCAGCCATTCATCTTAAAGGGAAAAGCAGTGCCTGTAAATATTTGTCTGAACTTTAAGGCTACAATTAAACTGCAAAGGCCTCAGCCAGTGCAAAAAAGGCCAGATAACGTGCGCGCCAGCTGGATTTCAAAGCAGGGTTTGAACAGCTACTGCTGCGATTTGAAGAGAAATAGAGGGAAGTAGCCTCTACAGGGTGAGCTATTGCCACCTTTAGATGGAGCTGTGATTTGTTTCTCTGTTTCTAAAAAAGGAAAACGCCATGAGGCAATTTTTTTTTCTTCATTTTAATTTTGTTTTGGAGACAGAAGTGGTGGTGGGAGCGATGCTGACAAATGGCAAGGGACCACATGCTGATCATTCCTGTGGGGAACGCGCGTGCACGGGGCAGATTATGGCCAAAATCTCCCGTCCTACGACGCATCTCCCCTCACCCCTCAAAGAGACCCTTGTTTTTCTTCCGTGTTGTTTAGATTTAAGGACAGAACTGTTGTTTTTTGACGCTGCTAAGAGGTGCTGGGAGCCCAGAGGTTGTCACCTCCCTTCCGACTGAAACGCTGCCAAGAAAGAGGAACCGTCTCCTCGAAACTTGTTTGTCCTTGAGCTCGGATCGGGTTTTACATTAAACCAGCAACGCTATGGACTTTGTGTCAGAAATGCTGGGCACGAGGGGAGGTCAGAAGGGATGGACTCGAAACCAGGGCTGGAAGGGCCGGAGTGCCCTGGCGCTCCTAAACATCTGGCACGGCTGGATGTGACTCATCATAAGGAAGTTTCTGAGCGTGAAGTTGAATTTAATGGAAGCCTCTTTGAGTCACACTCAGCAGATATTTTACCAAGGTTTTATGAGACATTTTGGGTTAATTACAGTCGATTTGCTTCTCTTCCATATCAAAAGATTAAAGCAGAAGGGAGACAGAAGATTGCCCAAGAGAAAACAGCCCTCGACTGTCTTTGCTTCCCGTCGGAGATTGCAAGATAAGGGGCCCCAACCCTACGAATCCGTCACTGCAAGAGAAGTGACAAATGCTGAAAGCAGAAAAGAGGAACAGGGACGGCCAGGGATCCTAGTCCTGGGATTTAGGAAGTGTAAAAGCTCCCTACATGGAGCATGAAGCAAGAGCTATTACCTCATACTTCGAATTAACAAACTTCCAAGTTGGAGGCGGGAGGGAAAAAAGAACAAGAAAAACAATTCTCTGATTGAGGCAGAGCTGAAAACACTCGAAAAACACCTGAAAACACCGGGGTAATCTCTGGGCTGCAAATATGGAGAAAATCTTGCTCCTTCCTCGGAGCTCTGCGCTCGGAGCAGAACCCCTTGGGAAAAGGATTAGCCAAAAAGCTGGAAAGTCAGGTTGGACTCGCTGGAAGACTAAAATTAAATTAATTAGGGGCATTTCTGAATGGAAAGGCAGCTCAGACGTATAAAACTGCGCATCAACCTTCTGGGGCACGAGCCAAGAAAGGCTTAAGAAAGCGCAGGAACGCAGGCAGAAAACGCACAGGAGCCCCACGCGGCGCGGACGGGGCCAGCGATGTGAACAGAAAGGAGAATGCGGCACCGGGAACGGAGCGCTGGGCGTTCCACGCCGCGGACACGCGGGGCGTTTGCATGGAATTTCTCAGCTCGCTGTTAGGGGGCCGGAGCTGCGGCCGTGGGGACGCGCTGCCAGCGCCGACGGACGCGTGGGAATGCCGGGTCCGGCAGGAGGAATTCCTTGCCGTCTGGGATGGGACCGTACAAAGGGGCTCCCTGTTCCGTGGGGATCGGGGATGGGGATCGCAGCTCCCGGCGAGGTCTCCCTTGCCCTATGGGGAAGGGATCCCCCAATGGCCCTGGATTGAGGATGCCTCCCCTCCTCTTCCCAACCGTGCTGTTGGATCCAGCTCAGGAAAAACCATCCGTATCCTTCTCTCTAAAATCCTCACCTTCCCGGAGCCGCACAGCTCGGCTTTGGGGTCACACACTCCATTTATAGCCAAAACGGAGCCTGCTGTAAGCTGAGCCGCGGCGCAGCCCCTGCTGCGGATAATTTTGGCTCTGGAATTTCGCATTTTTTTCCCTAAGCTCCGTATTTGCAAACAACCCCATTACTCAGAGAGGCAGAACGAGCAAGTGCCCCTTAAAGAAAAGCAAATAAAACACATATAAACCCCCAGGCTGGAGCTGAGGGCTCGCCTCGGTGCCACAGATGGAAGCGGCACACACAAACACATATGTGTATATATATATATATGTATATATATATATATGTGCATATATATACACACACACACATATATACATATGTATGTAAATATATGTGTATGTGTGTATATGCTCTGTGGGTGTCCCCTCTGAGGCACACGGCAACCAAGCCTGGGCGACGCAGCTCTGGGGACTTTTATCCCCCATTTTTTCTCACTTCTGCAGCTTTTTTACCTCAGAAATACCCCCCAAACCCGCCTTTTTTTTTTTTTCGGCAGTTGCTAA